TAATCGTCAACGAAGTTTGGTGGTGCAGAGTGCACGCTTCGTTGAGTTTGATTCGATAAAAATCCCGTTACATTGGGAGTTCCAAGGGGGCAGCGCCCCCTTGGCGGGGGTTCGGGGGCAGCGCCCCCGAGTAGGGTTCAAGGGGCGGCAGCCCCTGCTGGGTCCATTGGGCAAGGCGCTATGTTAAAAAATTCAATTGGAATTTCATATTTGAAATTTTCTTTAAAAGAAAATTCCTAAGGATAGCGTTGTTTTCAAAGGGGGAGTTTTTCGCCGAAGAGTTGCGAGCCTTGGGTAAATGGCCGCGAATGGTGTCTTCTCCTTCTCACCCCAAGTCTATAAATTCCCGCGAGGCATGGTCGAATTTCGTTCGGATTTTTCATAGCAATTCTCATATTTTCGTTCTTGATACTTTCGAGTTTTATCCGATTGAATTTTGGAGTGAACAACCAAAATATTCAATCTGAAAGTGTTTACACAACTCTCGATTCATCCAAGTTATCGTTAATTTCCCCAACATGATACTCAATAACTCTGTGTTTTTCTAAATTAGTCCCCAAAATTAATTAATTTCCAAGATGGTACTCGTTAATTGAAAATAATGCTTACTTTAGTCTCTCGAGTAATAGCCGTTAAAACGACGTTAAATTTTATACTACTTTCTCAAAGTGGTACTTTCTAACTAGATGTTTTCTCAAATTGATCCATTTTCAAAATAAAAATAATACATTAGTTATGGAAAAATATTTTAAATGCTATGGGATGACAATATAATACTTAGGGGGGTGTATTCAATCAGGATTCTGATGGATTGTTTTGGATTTTGAAAATTTGTAGGTATTCAATTCTGATTTTAAAAAATCTTTTAAAATATGATTGTATTCAATCCAGATTTTAAAAAATCTTTCCAAATATGACAGTATTCAAAAGTTGATAGATTTGTAAAGATTTTTAATTATAAGGATTTCAATGGATTTTCATGCCTTACTTATTAATATAATTCCAGATTTGAAATCCCACCAACAACCCTAGGATTTCGCCAGACTTTCTTCCGCACTAACTAGGTTCACTTCTCATCTTCTTTTTCGATCCGTCGGCATAGCACTGGACGACTTCTCATCTTCTTCTTCAACTTCTCATCTTCTTCTTCAATCCGTTGCTAGACTCCTCTCTTCTCGCGAAGCTCTAAGAAGGAAGCCAGATTCTCAATCTTTCAGGTTTTTAGCTCTCGTTCCAGATTCAATCCTTCTAAGAGGGAAGGAATCCAGATTCAATCCTTCCACGAAGGACATAGGCTCGCCGGCGACGGCAGGGACGACGATGGACGGGGATGGAGACGGGGAAGAAGAAAAAGGGGAATTTAAAGAAAGAGGAGAAAGAAGAAGAATAAATAGGAGGAGGGGAGAAAGAAGAGAAAGAAAGAAAAAAAGGAGAAGGAAGGAGGAGGAACGAAGGAGAGAAGAGAAAGGAGGAGGAGAAAGAAAAAGAAAGAAAGAAAGAAAAAAGAAGCAGAAAGGAGAAGAAGAAGAAGGGGGCGTAGGAGAGGGGAAGAAAAACAATTGGAGTGAGGCTGAGAAACAGAGAAACCAAGAAGAATGAAAAAAAGTAAATGGATTCTAACAAATCTATCAAAATCTATGTTAAAATCTCTCTAATTCTGCATAAACTTAAAATAATCTTTTGATTTTATATAGTCTATAGATTCTAACAAATCTATCAAAATCTTTTAAACTCTGAATTGAATACACCCCCCTTAAAGCTACAAATATAATTTTATATATTTAAAAGTAAATATTTTCGATTATTTATAATTATTAAGAAAAATAGCATGTAAATAAAATATTTAATAATCGTTAAAAAATCTCTCTAAATCGAAGTAAAACATAAAGGAAGTACATAAATAGGAGCTCTTAATCTCTATTTTACTCTTACTAGTATTTCAACCCATGCCACGCACGAGGCTGAACAATTTTTTTATCGATTATAAAAAATTTCTTCAATTCTTTAAAATTATTTTCTTTTAGATTCTAATTTTTAGGATCTGTTTGATTAAAAGAAAACTATCTCTTTCAAAAAATTACGACTCTACTTTTTCATTTAGGTTGCTTAAGTGGAAGAAATAATTTTTCTTAGAAAAATAATTTCTCTAAGAGGAGAAAATAACTTTTTTTGCACAGAAATACTATTTTTTATATCACTTCAATCAACCATGTTACAAACAGTAATCAATTATCTTTCTAGTCTACTACTTTTTGCAACATAACAGTTTGTAAAGTAAATTTAATACTAGCTAACATCTCTTCTTCCTTCATTTCTTTTTGATGAGTTTTAGCATTTCGAGCTTGCCATACAATATAACAGACAGCCCTCCAAGCTGCCATGGCTATCTCTCTTCGTCTTGCCCCCTGCATCTTCATTGTTTTCTCACCAAATTCTTTAAGATTTGCACCTTCAATCTTGTAGTTCAGCCAATCAAACACCTGTGTGTAAACTCTTTGTGTGACATCACACTTATAAAAGAGATGTTCTATGTTTTCTTCTCCCTTATCACATAGTATACAACCAGTGTCAATGTTCATGTACTTTTTCAACCTCTCTTTTGTTTGGATTCTTCCCTTCATTATCAGCCAGAAAATAAATCTATTCTTTGGGACCCCTTGTTTAATCCAAACCCATTTATGCCAATATGGGGGTTCACGTTTACCCATCAGCCAATTATATCCCTTCCTCGTATCGAATCCTTCATTTCTGTCCCATTCAGCAAACTCATGTCTGACTTTGATCATCCTTCTCCAGTAGTGGCAGCTGTTTGGAGTAGGGATGTAGTCCCAAAAGTTGGTGTTTTTCAGGTATTTGGAATGTATCCAACGTACCCACAAAACCTCCTTTGTGAAATTTGTCCTAAATAAGACTAAAACATAATGACTTTCCTAATGTAGGACTTAAACTTTTTTATTCCCTAAATAGGACTTAATAATAACCTAGTGGGAGGAATAGGGAGGAATAATGTCCAGTAATGATGGACATTTACTTAAGTAATGACTACTTCATAATGACTAAAGGTCCTACATTGGTAAATAAAAACATATGGTCCTATATTAGGAAAGTTATTATGTTTTAGTCCTATTTACATAAATTTCTCTTTTCTTTTTCATTTCCTTTTTCTACTCTCTCCGTCCCAAAATATAAGCAACATTGCATTTTCATTGATTATTTGATAGAATAAAATAGAGTAATGCTACGTTCACAAACAGAATGGTCACAAACTTCACAAACTTACCATTTATGATTTAAATTTTCATTTTAAAATTACTCTAGACCATTTAATTTTTTTTATTGAAGTTCACAAATAGTAAGTTTGTGAAGTTTGTGACTTTTTTGTTTGTGAATCTAACATTTCTCAATAAAATATTCTTGTCACCACTTGTTTTGTAGAACTTTTGACGTAGTTTTTAAATATGTAAGTTTTATTTTTAATTTGTAGACCATTCTTTAAATAAAATGGATTGAAAAAATTCAAAAAATTACTTCAACTCGTTTAGCGTAATGTTGCTTATATTTTGGGACGGAGGGAGTATTTTTCTTTTGTTTTCTTTATTTATTTATTTTTTCTTTTCATAACGTACAAAAAATAGTTTGTTTACTTTTGAAAATTTAAAAGCGGAAATGTTCAACTTTAGATAGAGAAAGTATATGTTATATTTTTATTTCGGTTTTTTCATTTCAAATATAAACTAATTTGAATTAAAAACATTATAAAGAAGAATTTAAAAAAGTAGTTTAAGAATGATATATACTCCATAATAGGCACTAATACCCATGTGGATTGGAAAATGGGTATCATCAATGTCCCCGCCCCCCTTGTATGCAAAAGTGATCGGAAAATAATACAAACCAAAGTGGTGCGTGTGCAAGCTTTTGAAATGACAAACATTTTAAAACAAATTGAAAATAAATGATGTATTATATTCATACCTATTTTTCAAACCACATGAAGCACTAAAACTATTTTTATATATTCTATTTGAAAATATATGTGTCATTCTCAATTTTTTATTATAATTTTTTTTCTCTACGAAAAATAATTTTCTAATAAAGGAAAACAAAGGGCAAAAAAGTCATACTAACAAATATGATGAAAACAATTTTTTAAAATTTGTATTACCTTTTTGTAAATATTTTTATTTCAAAACAAAAGTTTTATCATTTATAAACACTCCTTCTTTTATAAATAAACTATTAAAGACTATTGGTACCGTGATGGGAATATATATATAATATCTTATTACAAAATTTAAATCTTGATAGATTTTTTATACCCATGTGATATTTTAACTTTAAGGAAATTATAATTATTGAAAAGTTATGAAGTACATTAAACCATAAAGTTTTTCTTATTAGAAATTATCAAATATATTATTAAGACCCATAAAGACCTAATTTTCTTTAATAAACTTTTCATCTTTAATTAGGTGATATAAGATGAGCTAAATTTAAGCTCAATAAATTTCCATACAAAAGAATAGATTAATAATTTTTAAAAAAATTATATTTTACTCAAAAGACTTTTAATATTATTGTCGTTTTTATGAAAAAGAAGACCGGGTTAAACATGATTAGTTTTTTTTATGAATAACTTATTTAATTTTTGTTAAAAATTTATATTTTTATTTCGTTTACATAATTTTCAATAAGTTCAAAAAACCATGATTTTTTATATAAAATATATTGTTTTAAACTCTTCAAATTTTAGGGATTATCATAAATAATTTTTCATAAATGATAAATGAGATTTTAAAGCATGCCATGTAAGATGACACATGCCAACATCTTAGAGACATGAGTCTCAAATCATATATATATATATATATATAAAGTAGGGTTCTTTGCATGTGGTGTTGCCATGTGTCATTACACGTAGGACGCCACACAAGACATTTTAAGCTTATTTGGACATTTTCTCATTCACATAAATTCTCTTTTTCCTTCCATTTGCCGTTCATCTTCCCATTTCTCCAAATCTGTTGTTGCCACCAATCGATCAACTTCCCATTTCTTGACCAGCAGAAAACTCTTCCCATTTCTTAACCTGAAACTCTGGGAGACATTGAGAAAGGCGAGACTTTCTCTCTCTAGGGTTTGAGACGCCGTAACATTGTGCGACTCCCTTAGATTTGCCATTCCTCTTGAATATGTGGATCATTTTTGATGATTTTTGTTTATCTTAGAGCGAAATTAGAAGCTCTTCCATAATCTCAATTTTTCGCTGAAGAATTGGGGCTGAATCGTGGTGAATTGCAGATTCAAATTGCGTAGTCACTGTTCATCTTCATACTTCGCAGGTACAATTTCATCTGGGTTTTTACAAAATTGAAGGCCAATTCTTGGGTATTTTGAGCGACTTGCTAGGCCTAATCACCTTCTAAAGTTTGTTGATCAATCCAAACAAAGATTCGTGGCTTTTGGATGAAATTGTAATTTCGAGACACTGTTCACAGTGTGAATCTACCAGCGATGCAATAGTAACTTACACGGCTCTCTGGTTTCTACACTTTTCATTGAAAGATGCAATCACAACTTTGCTCAACTTATTCAGCCTTCTCCCTCGGTTTCTGCTTTGTCTGGCAGGTATTCTTTTGGCCTTTGATATAATTTACATAATCCATGATCTGTAAATTATTATAACTTCAATTCCTTGAAAAATCCTCCAATTTTGGTTAGAGTTTTATAGTCTGATGACATTGGTTCGGGTAATGCTCATAAGATAAAATTTAACCGATTTGAATCTTTATGGAGGGTATCTGCATAGAGGTTCTTTGAAATCAAACTGGGGAAAAATGACTTGGATACATTTTAGGTACATCGATTCTGAAGGTGTTGAGTTTTATGTGATTTTTAGGTAATTTAGATGGCCTTGCTCGACAAGAAGATTCTTACAGAAACGTGTCAAGGTTTACAAGAGTCCTGCTGAATGACAGATATGTCTCTCCGAAGGTTTGCCTCATTTGATTCTTCTTGAACTTCTGAACCATCTTAAGGACAAAGACAGAGATATGGGTCTGATTCTCATCTTATCCAATGAAGGTATTTCTGATGAGGTGAACAGCTCTTTAGTTAAATTTACGTCTGCATCCTCTCAATTCCATCATTTTTATGGAATACACTTAGTAGTAGGTGTATCCTCACTGCAAATTGACTCAACTAATGGTATATCTTTTAGAGTACAAAGTATTTTTCTTCTTATTTTAGTCATTGCTCCTCTCTTATTTCTCAAACTACAGGACCAAACAAGTCCTCCCAATCTATATAAGAGTCATTGCGAGCACCTACTTCAACCTTTCCGGTAAGGTTTCAAATTTTGACCTGAGCTAATCTTTCTGAAAGTATCTTAGAGGACGTTTTTTAATACAAATTCTAAGAAGACCCATGATTTTGTTTTTTTGTGTTGAACATGGTGAGAGAAGGAGATCTTTTCACGCTCTTTGGGTGTAGGTTTTATCCGACTTACCACTCTTAATGTGGTCTTTGGTCCTATTAAGGTAAAATAATTTGTTTGTGTATTTTAATGATAACCATGTGTTTGGACTCTATAAGGACATTTGTTTGCTTTTGTCCGTGCACTAATTTATTGACTATACTAAACTAAAAAAGACCTGTGTTATATACTTCGAAGGTGGAGGGTTCAATTTTTGATATTAGTTTGAGGGAGCATTAAATGGCGGGTGGTATTCACATCCCTCACAGTGACAAAAGGTTTGCTGGATTCAGCAAGGATTCAAAGCAACTATAACCTGAGGGTGAGTGGCTATACTATTGTTTACTGTTATTTTTTCACAACCATGATTCGTGTTTTTATTTTTAAAGCTTTTTTTTTCTAATTATCCAATCTCCAATCTCAAGTAGGATGCCAGGTCAGCTTATCTTTGTAGACTTCGTGAACATGAAGTTGGGTTTTGCTATTCCATCTTTTTCACATGCCCACCCCCTTTTCTCCAAATTTTATCACTACCCTGACCATTCTTCTCCTTCACCTGGCTTGGCAACTTGAGACGGCAATAGACACTGCTGCTGTAGTTCCATATAGTAGGAAGAGGTGACAACAACCTTCGGCCCCCTTGCAGAAAAAGAAGAAAATATATTCTGATTCTTTAAATACAAATCAATATATTATCTGCTCTTTTCAAAGATGAACGATGAAGCTACTCTATCGAGCATTGGAATCTTGCCGCATCCACCTCTTGGTAATGCCACAAGCTCTATTTTTACCCCATTAATTCATAAACCTATATGTAAGTCTTTTTCATTTTCATTTTCACTTACTATTATTGTTTTAAAAAATATGCATATTGTAAATAATTGATTTTAATATGTTATCATTTAGCTTTTGTTTACATCATAGCAGATTTGCAAATTTTGAAGTTTTTTTCATGAATTTATTAAAGTTAAAAGTAGAACATTTAAAGTGTTTGAGAAAATGCCTAAATGAGTATTTTCCCTTTTATTGATTTTTTTAGATTTGTAACTTTAATTTAAGTTACATATAGTACTTGCCTAAAGATGAACTTATTAATTCATTTGTTTGATAGTTTTTTTTATTAAGACCTTATAAACACCACATTGTTCAAGTATTGATTTTATTATAAGAGTTTTATAAAATTATATGTCCTGTTTGTGGATAATCATATTTTGTGTCAACATTAAATTTTTAAATAATGAGTTAACCTTTTGTTCTTACTTTTAATTTTTCATAGCTTAGAGTAGAAAACTGATTGTTCATCACTTAAAGTAAAATATACGAAGTACAACTATTAATCATATTTTATTCTAATATAAAGGCCTAGAAAATTGATTCATCGTCACTTATTATTATTTTTTTGTTATTACTATTATTATTATTATTATTATTATTATTATTATTATTATTATTATCCAAATCCGTGATAGGATTATGTGCCCCTTGATATCACTAAGCCACTATTTTTTAGAAGCATATATATATATATATATATATATATATATATATATAGATCGATGTTTATTGTATTGATATTCTTATAAGATTTTATTATCTTAAAAAGAGTTCACATATGGTGTTATTTCCCCTACGAATCACACAGAGCACTGCACTCTAAAGATCTTTGAAGGAAATAGTCAAATTGTTAAATTGGTGTTCTGTTTTTTACATTTGTAGTGGTGATATGAAGTTTGAAACATACAAATTAATTGGCCTAAAATTATAATGGTGATGAGATCCACACATTATAGTTGGAAGGCAGTAAAGGCGGGAAATGAGGCACATCTAAATGATGCACTCGAGGAAATAGAGAAGGTAAGTGTTTTAGTTGTCGCTTCTTTTAATGGCCATAAGCCGCCCGTGAGAATGCCATTTTTTAACTTCAGGGCTGTTAACATCAAGTTTGCCATTTTGTTTGGTGCTCATCTCACACTACTTATTGTTTTTGCTCACTATATATGGTGCAGGTTAGCATTAATAATTTTATATTTACCCCAAAAAAGTGAGCACTTTAGAAGGAGAATAGCTTAGTCTATTTTTGTTGTGCTTACTTTTTTTTCCCGTGTATTCTCCTTCTGTAAGATTGCATCTTTACTTGATCGGGCATAATACGATTCAATTTCCACCAGTTGTTTATGCCACTGGTGAAGCGGTTAGTATTTATATTCCTTGGTTGTATAACAATTTCCTGACTAATTGCATTCCACTTGGTTGTTCAGTCAACAAGAAGTAACATAATGGTTCTTTGAAGCTATATTTTCATGTTTGTATACCCTCCGTAAAGATGCACCCTTCCTTTGTAATCCAAGTGTTTATACATGATCACTTCATGCTGTCATCTTCCCCGTGTAATTTGTTACTACATAAAGCACTTGCTGGTTTACTACAGAAAGTATTTGTAATTTAATGAAAAAATTGTTTAGTGATGGCCATGTTTCTTTCCAGGTTCTTGGCAGGCTAGCAGCTCGGATAACAACCGCGGTTCAACTTTCAAGGCTAGCATCCTACATCAAAACTATTCGGGGAGTGTTGTTCGCTGATAATCACCCACCACCTTAGAGGTATGCTATCTGTATTGCTCTTTATGCTGATTCATGAGGTATGATGTAACTAAACCACATTTAGGGATGGAACCAGTGCTACACGAATATGAGTATTGTATAAGTGAATAACAATAAAAAGAACAACCTCAAAGTCTAGATGGCAATTTCTCATAACCATAATAAAGACACTTCATGGGATTAGAATCAATATTAAAAATAAAAACTTTTAAGTCTTTCAAACTTTACTACATTCATATAAGAGTACTAATCTATACGGAGAAGCGAATAAACTAATTTTAATATGTGATCTCAATTCTTTGAGTCCCTACCACAGTTTGTTATATAGTTGTTCATCTATTGGGGTGCTATGCTACGTTTCACCAGCCTAGCTTTTTAAAGTGAAACGAACTTCCCCTGTTTAGTTGGTATTAGTTCCTTGCGTATTCCTTAACACCCAAACTAGAATATCCAGCTGATCAGTATGACATGTGACAAAGTTTAAATTCGATAGTCTCAAAGCTCCTATATACACATTTGAAGTTTGAACACACGTCTTAAAAATGAAAAAATTCACTAAGCCTAGAATTGTAATACTATTAGGCCTAGGATTATCATTAATTGGAATAATTTGTTTATTTATATTTATTACTCCCTCCGTCCTAAAATTAATTTCCCAGTTCAGTCAAACTTTTTAAACTTTGACCGTAAATTAAGGAAAAAATACATTGAATTTTTATATAAATTTATTAGCAATAGATTTATTTTGAAATATAGTTTTAAAATATATAATTTTTATAAAATATATTTATATAAAAATTAAGATATTTATAGTCAAAGTGTCGTATTGGAGACCGTGAAAAGTCAAATGAGAAATTAATTTTAGGACGGAGGGAGTATTTTTAATACTGCTCTAAAAAGGGATATGAAGATCTCTTAGACTCTGGTATATATAAAAAAGAAAAAAAACTGCAGTGGTAGGTTTTATATGGTTCCTCTAGCAAAAGTTATTTGATGTAGAGTCAGCTTTGTTCAAAGTTTAAAAGATTTTGGTGGCTAAATGATATGAGTTGTATAATTAGGCAGGGAATACAACCCAGTGTGCGTGTTTGAAGCCAGTTGTAATAAGTCTATTTTAGTCTCAACTTAAGGTATGTATTTTGACTAAATGTATACTTTGACCACACCATGTAGGTTTTTAGTCCAGATAATGCGGCTATTTTAGTCTCAACTTAGGTATATATTTTGCCTAAATGCATACTTTGACAATATAAACACTGCACCATCTAATGTTTGTTTCCATTGTCTGAGCATCAGAGCTAACCTATAGTACAAGGACGGCTTTCATCACTGCTTACATGCGTCTGTGGTGCACTGCTTCTGTGATATTAGATGATTATGTAAAAATAGGTTGGCTCAGTGCATCTTTGGAAGTCCTCACTTTGTTTATGTTGTCATCAGTGCTGATTTTTCTATCAAACACGGTCACATGGCCATGACTAACAAAATGCATACTTATTATCCCTGCTTTTACTCCTCCCGACATATATAGCAGAAATTTCCCCTAGATATTGTCACATTATAAAGGCATCTACAAAAGAGATGTAGCGAGAATGACTGGATCCTAAATCAACCCCGTCGCAGCACATCAGCACCATATACCAAGGTATGGGCTACCAATCATTTGTTTTTATAACTTATTTTCATATTTACATACAATGGCTAAGTTTTGTTCTACATGTTAATATTCGATATATTCATTGTTCAATTCTTTGAGTGTCTAATATCTTGAGATGATGATGGATCTCTTCAAAGTTTTGTAAATTTTCTAAAGATCAATTTAAACACTGCATAGAAAAATCATATGTTCCCTGTCAAAGATATATAAAACTGGTTGAATGAAGTTCATTATTTTCGCTGAGTAGGCTAAGAAGAAAAAGGGCAGTCTGCCGCTGCCTTAGCTTGAATGCCACATAGAGGAGAAAATGGGGGTATTTTAAGTTTGTACCTATTAAGATACTAATGTGTTTGTAATGATCTAAGTTCTTATGTATTGAGCAGCTTATTGCAACACTGTTTTTTCCTCTACTGCACCAGTATCAACAGTATGAGAGAGTGGTTTAAAATGGAGTATAGTTAATTACAGCACATTAAATATATATTCATTATTTTGTTTAAGTTAGTTGTACATTATGTATTTGAGATAAGTAGCACTTTCCAACTGAAATTATAAAATTACTTTTGTGGCCATTTTAGTTATATTAAAAGTTGATTACTACTCATTTATGATATGATTTTTTTAATGCCATTTTAACCAACTTCATCTTCTTTTCTACTACTTTCATCCCTGAATATTTGTTCAGTTTTGACTTTTTCCGATTAACTCTTTTCAATCTTTGATCTGTAATTAAATAAAATATATATGAAGTTCGTTATTCTTTTTAATGTTTTTATTGCATTTGGATTGATACAATATTTCTTTCAGTTACCTCTTAATAGATTATTACAGAGTAGTATATTGCTTTGAGTTAGCTTCTGATTATACTACTACTCTGCCATGATGATATTGCAGTGAGCTTAAATTACCATTTCCTGTGTGGCTGTGTGTGGGTTTTTTATGCTGGTATGTGGCTACACAATAGAGCTAATGACAATACCTAATTCAATGCAGCCTTGAGACTATTTTATTCTTGGATTTGTGGCTACACATTACAGTTAGCCAATTTTGTCTTTCTTACTTGCCTATTCCTATCAGCAACTTATTGGCTACTATACGTACTACTTTGCGTAGAGTTTTAGATTGCATCTTAGTCCACATTAGATATTGTTTATGATGGCAGTTTTGGCAATAGCTTGAAAGGATAACATTTACAAGATGCTGCAGATTTTCCCTCTTATTCTTTATTGAAGGAGATGAAGTGTTTATTTGGTGCTGAGCTTTTCCTTCATATTCTTTATCTGGTGGTAATACTCGAGACTCCTGATGCAAGAAAACTTGACTTCATTTTTAACATTTCGTGTTCGGTAGGTTGGTTAGCCTGCACTACAACTGGTTTGGGATGTTGATACTCTTATACTGTTTTTAAGGTTTTCAATCTTTACTTTTGCTTCTTTCTCCTTTGAGGGGATTTGTTGAGGATCTCCATCCTTTTGAACTATGTACTATTTTTTCTTTTTATTAAAACTCTCCTTACTTACATACACACCTTAAGATATAGCGAAAAATGTATACTTAAAATTTATGAATCATATATTCATTTAAAAAAACTTTGAATTTATAGATATATTTTACGTGAGATTATACGAGCCCGTGCGAAGCACGGGGTAAAAAACTAGTATTATAGTAAAGGAAAGGATTTAGGGTGATTTGTTCAATGTTTATTAAATACAGAGTATTTTTTTACATGATATTTTTTTAAACAATTTTAAATAATCTAAAATGTTACTTTCAAATTTATAAAATTATATTTATAGTTTTGTAGCATTATATTATCATCATATAAAATTTAAAATATATTTCCATAATAAATGTATTTTATTTCAAAAATGGAAGAATTTGAGAAAACACCAAGTTAGAAATTACACTACCATTTTGAGAAGGTATTATAAGGTTTAACATCGTTTTAACGACCGTTAAACAAAGAGATTGAACTCAGCATTATCATTAATTACCAAATACACTTTCGAGAATTAGTTAATTTTGAAAACTAATTTAAAAAAACACATAATTATTAAATACCATTTTCAGAATTACTCAATTTTTCCCTACGTCCTTACCCCTCCGTAGTAACAAAAACATCGGGAAGTCTTCTTTTTTTTTTTTTTCACATAACATCGGGAAGTCTTTTCGCCCAAATTCACACCTATAGTACGAAAACATTGGAAAGAATTCTCTCACGTGTTAAAATTTTAGCACCGTTGGAGTTGGTTGTAATGCTTTTTTTCAGCACTTCACTGATAGGGAAAACACTTGAGAACTACTCCAATAATATAATGATATGAGTATAAGACTAGGACATGGTGTTTCGGAGGGTGTGTAAAGTGGTCAATCACACAGGTTCCCTAAAATTTTAGGTTTCATATTTTTAAATTTATCATTAATTTTGAAGCAACTTAATTTTATGCTAACTTATAAATTCAAAAATAACTTATAAGGAATTTTGATCAACTTATAAGCACAAAAAATACTCACTATATTTCTTTACTTCAAAATATTTGATGTACTAAAAATTTAACCTTTATTTACAAATATAAGTTGTGAAATTTGCACTATATAGGACTAAAACATAAGTCATTTTTCAATGTAGGACTTAAACTTTTTTATTCCTTAAATAGTACTCCCTCCGTTTGGAAAAAGTGTTCCTATTTTGACTTTGTGTAAAAATAAGGAAGTATTAAATTGTAATTGACTTCCAATTTTGCCCTTGATGTGATAGGTAAAAGTAAGATGTGATGGATAGATTATTAGAGATAAAATATGATGTGAGAGGTAAGGTATGAAAAAGTAAGGGTAAAAGTGGTTTTTTAATAGAAAGTGGAAGTGTTTTGTTGGAAGTAAAAAAAATGAAAGAGGAAGTGTTTTAAAAAACGGAGGGAGTACTTAATAATGTCTAGTGACAAGAATAATATCCAGTGATGATGGATATTTACTTGAATAATAACTAATAGATAATGACTAATGGTCGTACAATGGGAAATAAAAACATATGGTCTTATATTGAGAAAGTCATTATGTTTTAGTCATTTTTAGGTAAATTTCTTATATAACTTATGTTGTACAAGTGAGCATGTTTTTTTAGGATTCGGAGCTATCTCACATTAAAATTTTGATTCAAATAGTTCAGTCTAAATAACAAGATATTGTTAATGCTGCAATTAATTGATCATATAATTGGCAATTGTGAGTTTGATAAAGAACATGAGATTGCAACCTATAGTGCATGAAATGAACTACAATTATCCGGTCAAATTTGAATATTAACAACAGCCAGTGTCAAACTCTATAGCATGATTGTCTAATATTTAAAAATCAATATTTAGTTAATGTCTATTTTATATTTCTATTTTACGCATGACAAATCGAAAAAAACTGAAGATCATAACTTGGAGCGAAGAAAACAATCTTTTTGATCATTCATGCCTGCAATGTTATATGTAAAAAAATTCAGAATTAATAATTTTATTTCTATTTCAAACTAAATGCATGATGGCCAGATTCTTATCCATTGACACTTTAGTCTGAAAGGTCAGGAGGATGTCCAGAACCTATTATATAGCTGTGATTACACTAAGGCAATCTACTGCGAGCTCTTGCCATGGTGTAACTATAACTTTGATGGCCAAAATCTTGAAGACTTGATGAGGGGATGTTTGAAGATACATCCAGTGAAGAAAAGAAGGAGAATTATCTCCATTCTTGCAGCCACTGCCTATGCGATTTGGAAGGCCCGAAATAAAAAATAATAATAATTAAGGGAAACATAAAACATAGGAGGAGGTATTCTAGGAAATAGTATATCAAGTGGGTGTCTATTTGGAAGGGAAGAAAGCTTGGGTGTTTTATCTGTGTTATTCGCAGCTCCATATTTTTTTGTTTTAGGAGAAAGTATGGGTGTTTACTGTTTTTTGTAAGGTGTGGTGACTTATGGTGAAGAAATATATTTGCTTTCGATTCAAAAAAAATCATGCAATATTGATCGGTGCAAAAAAAAATCATGCAAATTCACACACATGCATTGGCTTACCATATTATCTCTACACATAAGTTATTTATATATTTCATTATTTTTATCTTCAGATGATTTTATGTCGTGTACCATTTGGATCAGAATTCAGTTCAATCAAATTTGTAACAAAATATGTTCTAGCTTATTGGTGAGCACCTTGACATAGTACCAAAGAGATTTGGAGTTTGGATCTTATTCATGCTTTCTTCAATTTACTCTTAATACTCCATCCGTTCCACAAAACCCTTCCGGTTTTGACTTTGGAGAAAAATAAGGAAAGTGTAATTTTGATTGACTTTCCAATTTTACCCCTGATGTGATGGGAAAAAAGTAAGATGTGATAGTTTGGTTATTAGTGAAAAAGTATGATGTGATAGGTAGGGTATGAAAAAGTAGGGGTAAAAGTGGTTTTTAAATAGAAAGTGGAAGTGTTTTGTGGAAAGCAAAAAAAACGATGAAAGAGGAAGGATTTTGTGGAACGGAGGGAGTATTTATTACTTTTTCTGATTAGAATCAGTTTAGACTAAATTAGATCAAGAACATTTTTAAATATAACTATATATTCAAAACCAATCAGATTAAGTGAAAGAATTAATTCAGAGAAAATTCTCTCTTCTATTTCTTGTCTTCAATTTACAAAGTAGACATGTATATATAAGCTCTCACAGGTTGAGAAACCTAATCACAAAAGGAAACGAAATCAACCCTATACAAGGAAACTACCAAAAATATATACCAAAATATATACAATATTCTCTTTCCTTTAACACCCCCCCTCAAGTTGGAGCATGTAATAACGAAATGCCCAACTTGAGAAGAAGAAACTCCAAACGAGACTTTCTGAGTGCCTTCGTATGAATATCTGCAAGCTGATGCGTAGTAGGCACATGAAGTGTACGAATCTCTCCTCGTAAGAGCTCATCACGAACGAAGTGACAATCAATCTCAATGTGCTTCGTGCGTTCGTGAAAAACTAGATTAGCAGCAATGTGAAGTGCCGCCGTGCTGTCACACCGGACCATCATGGGGTTCTTATGCTCAACCCCTAAAGAGCGCAATATATTCTTCAACCACTTCAACTCATAAGTAAGGACAGCCAAAGCTCTATACTCTGCTTCAGCAGACAAACGAGCCACCGTCGACTGCTTCTTTGTTTTCCATGAGACAGGCGAGTCTCCAAGCTGCACAAACCATCCTGTCAATGACCGCCTCGTCAAAGGACATGCTGCCCAATCCGAATCACACCATCCTGTGAGCTGAAGGCTACTGTCTGCAGAGAGGAAAATGCCTTGTCCAGGACATCCCTTTAGATAACGAACAACTCCAAGAGCCGCAGACCACCGATCCTCCCTTGGTTCCTTCAAAAATTGTGCTAAAGTGTGGACTGCGTAGGAAAGTTCGGGTCGTGTAACCGAGAGATAAACCAATCGTCCTACCAACCGTCAATATGGTTTTGGATCTGCAAGAACTGGAGCCTGAGAACGAGCCAAATGATGATTTGGCTCCATCGGTGCACCCAACGGCCTGGCACCTAATAAACCTGCCTCAGTAATAATGTCCAAGGCGTACTTTCGTTGGAAAATCCCAGATGTACTACGTGCTACCTCGATGCCAAGAAAGAACTTCAAAACCCCCAAATCCTTCATATGAAAACAATTTGCTAAATAAGCCTTGAACTTGCTTATCAATTCTGCGTTGTCTTCGGCAATAATCAAATCATCAACATAAACCAAAACATGAATTACTCCTTTCTCCCCAACAAACGAAAACAAAGAGTAATCAGAGATAGACTGGACAAATCCATAACGCTTCAAAGCTCCAGACAACTTTGCAAACCAACATCTAGGAGCTTGTTTGATTTCTTGAGTTTGCACACCACATTAGAAGAACTTGAGAATCCTGGTGGCAATCTCATGTATACCTCATCCTGTAGATCGCCATGTAAGAAAGCATTATGGACATCCATCTGATGCAGCTCCCATCCCTTGACTGCTGCGATAGCTAAAAGCGTCTGTACTGTGGTCAACTTGACTACAGGAGCAAATGTTTCTTTGTAGTCAAGCCCTTCAACCTGATGATTACCAAGAACCACAAGCCTAGCCTTATATCTCTCCACACTGCCATCAGACTTGCGCTTGATCTTATACACCCATTTGAATCTAAGGGGCTATTTATGATGAGGGGGACGAACAAGAGTCCAAGTGCCATTTGCCTCTAGAGCATCAATTTCTTCTCGCATAGCCTTCCTCCATCGCTCATCTTGGAAAGCCTGCTTGTAACCCTTGGGCTCCACTTCTGCATCAAGAGCTGTGAGAAAACATTTATGTTTCTCAGAAAACTTCTCATATGTCACATATGACGAGAGAGGATATTTGCATTTCTCCCCGACATATGGTCCAACCACATGGGTAACATAATCGGCAAGGCGTACATTTGGATGTTTCTCACGCTGACCACGTCCCAAGTTCTCCACCACCTTCTGGGAAGAGGACGGTTGACCGCCGTCCGTTGAACGGTCCACGGGGTCGACCATCTGAAGCTGTTCCGGATCACTGACTTTCTGCCTCGGAGGCGATCGACCGTCTTCCAGATCACAGTCGACCGTTTGATCATCTCCCAAAGAACCGTCATTCTGCCTCTCGGACGGTCGACCGTGGATGTCAGGACGGTCCACCAGGTCGACCGTTTGTCCATCTCCCTGCAACCCATCTTTCTGCCTCTCGGACGGTCGACCGTGTACAGCAGAACGGTCCATCAGGTCGACCGTCGGTAGTCTGTCTGCTTCACCACCTTCCTCCGGCCGACTGTTCCTCATGGAACGGTCCATCGGCCTTTCCATGGGCGTTTCTTCATCATCTTCAAAGTGATCGATCGAAGGGGAACTACTCGATTCACTCTCATCTTGGATTTCACCTGCGGAAATCAAGTAAGGAAAAATTTTTTCACAAAACACAACATCCTGTGACACACTGATCTTCCCAGTGTCCGGGAAATACACGCGCCAGCCCTTCTTTCCTTGTGGGTATCCCAAAAATATTCCAGGAATACTTCTGGGTGCAAATTTATCTCCATCTCTTTTCAAATTGTGTGCATAACATCTGCAACCGAAAACACGTATATGAGTCCTCGTAGGGACCGTTCCATAAAGCTTCTCATACGGTGTAACCCCCCCTAGCAATGAGGAGGGTGTGCGGTTGATCAAATATGTCGCAGTTTGTATACAATCTCCCCAAAATTCAATAGGTAGCCCTGCCTGAAATCTTAGAGCTCGACCCACATTCAGAATATGACGATGTTTGCATTCCACTCTTCCATTCTGCTGCAGTGTAGACACACAAGATGTCTCACGAATAATTCCTTTTTCTAGAAAATATTCATTCAAGCATTCGAATTCTGTGCCATTGTCACTGCGAACACAGTTTATTTTCTACTCAAACTGACGTTCAACCATGGTACAAAATTGCTTAAAAGCACTTCTACTGTCCGCTTAGAGTCAAGTAAGTATACCCACACACCGCGAGAAAAGTCATCCACAATGGTCAAAAACATGGTAGAACCATCCAAGCTCGGCGTCCGATAAGGACCCCACAAATCACAATGCACCATATCAAATTTATCCAAATATTGATGGAAACTGATGGGAAAACTAGCACGAGTTTGTTTAGCACGTAAACAGACATCACAATGATTATGGCTACTTTTAATTGAACCAATTTCAGGAACTAAGGACAAAACATGCGAAGAATGATGTCCTAGACGCTTGTGCCAAAGATCAAACGAATTCACCTTCTTTGCACTGGACGTCATGCTTTTTTCTTCCTTCTTCAAATAATACAACCCTCCTTCACATCTCCCTACACCAATCGTTGTCCTCGAATTTATGTCCTGTAATATGCACAGATCATTGGTGAACTTTGTCTCACAGTTCAAATCCCTCGTTAACTGTGAGACAGAGATCAGATGGCACTTCAAAGTTGGAACAAACAACACATTCTGCAATGTCATGGTCCTTGTCAAATCAACCTTTCCGGATTGGACAGACACTACCTGTTTTCCATTGGGTAACCCAATTTCACACAGAGTCACGCCCACCACATCATATAATAACGAAAGATCACCTATCATATGGTTTGATGCACCCATATCAATAATCCAACGTGGTGACACAGAAATACCTGTAAGTTTCTTATTGATGTCTGTAGGAGATAGTGCAAGAGCGTGACGAACAGCATTCCACTGCTCCATAGTCAGATCTCCAAAATCGGGCAACGGTGAATATCCCTTTTTCTCTTCTTCCTCATTTTTCTTGCTGAAAATAATCTTCATGGATGCCTCTTTAGACATACCGGATGACAGGGGCTAACAATGGATCGAACTGCTGTAGCAACTGAAGAAGCTGTCGTCGGGACGGTCGATGCCTTCGACCGTTCCTATCCCGACGGTCGACCGTTCCGGTCTTTCCGCAGCAACACCAAGTGACGACCGCTGGACGCGATGCCGGGCGATCGGTGCACAGTAGTCGCGGAAATCCTCTAGGGTTTTGGTTCTGATACCATGAAAGAATTAATTCAGAGAAAATTCTCTCTTCTATTTCTTGTCTTCAATTTACAAAGTAGACATGTATATATAGGCTCTCACAGACTGAGAAACCTAATCACAAAAGAAAACGAAATCAATCCTATACAAGGAAACTACCAAAAATATATACCAAAATATATACGAATATTTTCTTTTCTTTAGCAGTGAAAAGAATATACTCCGTATGACCTTAGACTCATTTGAACTGTCTCGGGGTGAATAGTTTTCTAATAGACCCGACCGGACTACTTCGACCATCCGTCGGTCTCCGTTCCTTCTTTCAAAACTATGGGTTGCTCTAAGTGAAAACAAAAACGTTTCCGTAGTTCTTTATCTTTCAATGGGCCCACTATCTATTGTACTCCCTATTGTACTCTCTCCGTTTGCAAAAAGCTTCCTAGTTTCACTTGGAGCCAAAATAAGGATGTGTTAAATTATAGATTTATAGTTGACTTCCAATTTCGCCATTGATGTGATGGATAAAAGTAAGATGTAATGGATAGATTATTAGAGAAAAAGTATGATGTGATAGGTAGGGTATGAAAAAGTAAGGGTAAAAATGATTTTTTAATAGAAAGTGGAAGTCTTTTGTTGGAAGTAGAAAAAATGAAAGAGGAAGTGTTTTTGAGAACGAAGAGAGTACTTTTTTTACTTCGAGCACTCTCAATGAAGAGTGAAAAAAAATTAGATTAAGCTATTTGAACCCTAAAATTTGTATTCTAAATTGTACAAGAGTGCGTCAACCTTCATTTTGTGTTCGTGTGATCTTGGAATAATAGTTCGCACTAGCACAAAATTAAAATAAAATTTTTCTTATTGCACTAACATTTTGTGTCAGGCAATCAAATATTAATGTATCTTTTGGGCGTAACTTTGGGGTACACTCTTTTGTGTGATTGTAGCATGATTTCCTCAATAATCTTTCTGACTTTCTCTATACTTTCTCTTATCCACATCAATATTTTTGTGTGTAAAATTTGATGGTAAGTTTTAGGAAAAATCTTAAGTGTACACTAACTGGGTTGGGTACATCTAGCACACCTCTAAGTTTTATCCCATGAATGGGAGAACCAAAAAAAATCCCACCAATCTATTCCAATGGAGGCCCCCTTTTATTATTGCTCTTCTCTCTTTTTCAATTAGGCGTCCACCTATGAATGACGACAAAAAACACTCACATAGTACTAATAAAATCTAAAAACCTAGGAGAAATTCCCCAAACGTGTTACAAAGTACTCCCTCCGTCCACCTAAGATCTTCCCATTACGCGTTATGAGGCTTGACCGACTTTATTTTCAATTTAATTTAATTGATTATAGAAGTAAAATTTTAAAATAAAATTCATATAGTAATAAACTACATGAAATGTTCTACAAAACTAGAGGTGACAAGACTATATTATTTTACGAAATGAGTAGTAAAAATGAGCAAACAAAGTGAGTAAAGTTTGACCCTGTGAATAGTGTCTGGAAAGATCTATGGTGGACAGAGAGAGTACTTTTCTCCGTCTTAAAAACATGTTTTCATTTTGACTTTTAAAAAATTTAATGAAAAGATATCTTTATAGGGAGAAAGACCAAAGTAGAACTAAAATATTAAAAATATACCAAAATAGGACTTCCATGTTTTAATTCCCGAAATAGGACTTACATTACCAAACATGGTCATATACATTACCAAAAAAATATAGTAATCTGCACATGTACACTCACACATTACCACAATGCAAAGTCACATTACCACAATGCAAAATCTTATTCTGGGAAAAAAACATGAAAGTCCTATTTTGATACTTTTCTCTATGTTTTAGTCCTATTTATAATGATTTCTAATTTTTATATTGATTTTCCAAAAATATCCTTGATGTGATGAGTAAAAGTAAGATGTGATGTGTAGATTATTAGTAAAAAGGTATGATGTGAGAAGTATGTTAAGAACTAGCAACGGAAAAAGTGATTTTTTATAGAAATAAGAAAGATTTTGTGGAACAATTTAAAAAGAAAGGGAAGGAGTTTTTAGGAGGGAGAGTATTTTTTTATTCAAATTGCAGCCATGCATTTTTAAATTGTATACTGTATACTAAATTTTGTCTGGGTTGCTTTGTTCGGTTCTTTTTTTCTCTTCTGTTCTTTCTTTCTTTCCTTAGTATCTTTCTAGTTTTCAATTTTACATTTTTACCTTTTTTTTGTTTTTGATTTCAGATTTTTTTGTTAATGAAATATCTATTTTATGAATAGTTTTTTCTAATGAATTTTAAATTTTTGTATATGAACTTTTAAAATTAATATTCATGATATATTTATTTTATGGATTTATTTTAAGTAATTTTAATTAAAATAGATGTAAAAAAGAATATAAAAGAAATGAAAAAATATTTACTTGTACTAAAAATATGGACTATTTAGAGAATTACTCAAAAAAGAACATTATTTTATAGAATGTGGGTTTAAGTCAGGTAGGCATGGCGCCGGTGGAAGATAAATTGCGGGAAGCGAGGTTGAGATGGTTTGGTCATGTGAGACGGCGGGATGCTGACGCCCCTGTACGGAGATGTGAGCGGATTACGGTTATCGGGGGAAGTAGGGGTAGGGGTAGACCTAAGAAGAATTGGAAGGAGGTGATTAGACATGATTTAGGACTTCTCACCCTGACTGAGGATATGGCTTTAGATAGGAACCTTTGGAGAACTAGGATTAGAGTAGCTGGTTAGGAACTCGGTGCTACAGAGGTTTTTTGTAGTGTGTTGTGTTTGATTGGAATCTTCTATTAATGTTTGTAGAACTTTCTTTTCATTGTACTTGGTGTTTTACCCATGTTATACTGTGTACCCTATCATATTTTTTGTGCAGGTTGAGCCGGGGGTCTCTTGGAAACAGACTCCCTGCTTCCGAGTAGGGGCAAGGTCTGCGTACACACACCCTCCCCAGACCCTACTGTAGTGGGATCCAACTGGGTTGTTGTTGTTGTTCTCTTCACCTGATTTGATTAGTTCAAATTTAATAGAAATGAGTTCGGATTTGATTTGGTCCGATCTAATTATAGTAATATTTAAAATTATTTCTGATCTGATATTCTGATTTTAATAAGATTTAATACTCCGTAATAAGTAAGAATAGGTTGAAGAAACATGCTCCTAGTAGTGGGAGAGATTTGAGAAACAAAAATATCCTAATTGGTGAATACAAGAGAGAAAAATTTACAAACAAAAATATTGATGTGGATGAAAGGGAAAATGTACAAAGAGATTTATGAGGTATTTTTTCACGCCATTTTAAGTTTCCTGAGAACTACCATAATTTAGTTATATACTTCTTCCGTTCCAAAAAGATCTACTCATTTCATTTTTTGCGCATCTCATAAAATACTTTTATCTCATCTTAAATGCAAAAAAATTTAAAACAATTTCTACCCAGGCCACAATAAAGGGTAAATGTGGTAAATCTTAGACATTTTAGATGTGATAGAAGTGTTTTTTTGAGATACACAAAAAATAAAACGGATAGATCTTTTTGAGACGAGAGAATATATAACATCATCGGGAAGTGTTTTACTCGTATTAAAAACTAGCAACATTTTGTGCTGACCTCTCAAATTGTCTCACTTTTTACTATTTTCGTCTTAGGATAATCGTCCTTAGATAATGAGATTTGAGTGAATTTATTATTTTTCAGTTCAATATAATTTACGTAAACAATGGTACAAATTTTAAAAATTAAATTTATATTTTGAAAAGCCACTTAAAAATATTTATAAAATAAGAGATGACATGACTGTGTCATTTTAGTATTTTAGTTAATGATTAAATGCAATTCTTTTACTTACTACAGGTAGGTTTTATTTTATTTATGCATATATATATATATATATATATATATATATATAGAGAGAGAGAGAGAGATTTTAGATCAAATGAGAATGATGCATAGTGAAATTGATAATAATTCATATGATCTATTAGATTTAAGATTTAAGTGCTACTAAAAATCAAAAATTCTGAAAAATATTTTTAAAAAATCGTGGTGGCAATTTTAATTTATAAATGATTTGAACTTTCCGAAAATGCACTATTAGAAGAGAAACCTAATAAAATTTGATGAAACTTTGGCATTAAAAATAGTATAGCAGATGACGATTATTTAATAGTATAAATCACTATTAATGCAATTATATAAAAAATTACCATTTGTTATTACACAAATTGTTCTTTATGTTTTGATAAATATAAAAACTTTAATTGAAATAAGTTTCTAAGTCAATGTTAGAAAAAACTAAAACGATTAGGAAAAGAAAGCAAATTCTATGGTGGACCTTAATTAGATACACCATGGAGCTACATATAAGCAAAATAAGCATTTATTTACTATCTAAGGCTACTTTCCGTTCGCCTGATTTGATTTTTTGAAGATATGGTCTAATCTGATCCGATCTCGTCTACTAATATGATCTGATTGCAGTTATTTAAACAATATTCCTTCGTCTTAAATATATTTTTCACTTTCACTTTTCATTCATTAAAAAAATAAACATTTTCAATTAAAATCTCTTTTTTATAGGTACTACTTATTAATCTACCTATCACATAATATCTATTCACTATTTATCTACTCATCACATTTTATCACTCCCTACAACAAAAATTGGAAAAGAATATGAAAATTACACATTCCTTAAATCCTACTCCTCTGTCCAAAATTCATTTACACTCTTCAAACAACATGTAAAATCTTATCTTTCTAAAAATGATTTTATATAATAAACTTGTATAAAAATAAAGGGTACAAATTATTTACTTAAAGACTACATAAAAAAATCTACAAAATGAGATGTGACAAATATATTTTATTTTATTAAATGATATACCAATGAAAACATAGGAGTAAACAAAAGTTATCGATCCAGAGACTCAAATTAAATAGTAACAGTATAAATCATTTTGAAATAAGGAGTACCTTTTTCCAAAAGTGGAGAAATTTTTTTAGACGGAGGTAGTAATAATTATTATAATAAATGAGATAAGAATAATATATATAAAAAATGATGGAAAATAATTTTCAATGTTGTTGAAAGAAACTAGAATGAATGAAAAGAAATTGTAAGAAATTGGAAGGAGCGGAAAAAAATGAAAGCAAATTGAAAAAAAAACTAAGAAAAACCCAAAGATGTTTTAAGTTAAGAGTTAAAATTGAAGAAATGTACGGAAATGTACTTCCAAAATCATCGTCACAGTTACTATTTTGGCCTCTTGATAATTTTTGTTTGTTTGCACGTTTTTATATCTTGTTTTGTAGAAATTTTGATGTAGTTTTTGAAAATATAATTTGGATTTTTTAATTTTTATACCAATTTATAAAAAAACATTTTTTAAAAAAATAAATAAATTTTACATATTGTTCGAAATGAGACCATAATTTTAGGCCGGGTAAGATTATTTATTATGTGCAAGTTATTAAAATAGAGAGTACTACACTTTGGAGTGTCGTAGAGATGGGACAACGTGAGTATATATATCCCTAATAAACCATCTATAAAAGGAGAGTCATGTGTATGTAGGGTTTGTAGTGAGACTAAACTCAAAGCCAAAATACATTAAAAAGTGAGAAAGATGAGAGTTTGCGAAGTGCTACATATGAATGGAGGGGTTGGAGATTCTAGCTATTCCAAAAACTCTATACTCCAGGTACAAATATATATAAAAGCCAAGTTTAATATTTTCAGTTAAATATTTAAGTAAAATAAAAATTTATGTGCCAAAAATAAAAAAAAAGAATTACTATCAGTTAGCATATAACCTACTCCGTACATGTTAGCTAGAGATGTTCTAACACTCCGTCCCAAATTAAGTTGTATTATTTGATAAAATAATATAGTCATGTCACATCTTGTTTCGTAGAACTTTTTGTTCATTTAGTTTTTTAATCTGTAATTTTTATTTATTAGTTCCACTCTAATTGTCAAATAAATAATATTAAAAATAATTTCAGTCAAACATCGTAAACGAGAATAGGCGATTTGAATTTAGACTGAGGGAGTATATTTTAATTTGCTATATGAATCTACTTGGAAGACCAAAATAGCAATTTCACCAACAACTAATTACGAATGAATTGTTCATGTCATACTCGTAGAAAAAAATCAGTCCTAATGAATCCATCCATCCCACATAGTTTTGTAGAGGTATAATGATAGTTGACTGAATTTATTTTCAATTTAATTTATACGGAGTATATAAAAAATGAGATGAAATTAAAAAGTAATCAAATGGTCTACAAATAAGAAGTGAAAATAATATACGTAGTATTATTTTATGAAATAAATAATGAAATTTTTAAAATAAATAGACAAACCTTGTTTTCGAAAGATAAAGACAAGTCGAGGGGTTTGTTTCGTACATTTAGGCCCCTTTTGGTGTCAACGTTAGGATTTTGAAAAAAGTCATCTAACGGTAACCTTTAGCGTTAGCATTTTCAGAATTTATCTACACCACTAAAATTTTAACCAAAACGTTAACACTAAGCGAAAATATTATTCCCAAACAAGGCCTTATTCAACCTTCATTTGGTTTAATTTCTTTTTCACGTTATTAATGATTTATATATCGGTCTACACTTACACCACAAATTGTACCCCATTTGTACACCGCAGTTATACACAAACATTTTGAAGGTTTACACCGACACAAGTGTTGGTGCGTTAACAAAAATTTACACGGACACAAAGTGTTGGTGCATTAACAAAATTTAGTTTTACACCAAAACAAAGTATCGGTGCAACCCTGCGGGGTACAAAGTGGGGTACAAAAGTTGGGGTACAAATAGTTTTATCCTTATATATCTTACCATGCTAACAGAAAAAAGGATTGGTTTTGACAAAGCCAATAGCAGAAAAAGCCATAAATGATACCTACACAAAGCTCAAGCCACCCACGGTCTCCATTGCGGACCTCGGCTGCTCCTCCGGAACAAATGCATTTTCCGCCGTCTCTGACCTCATCAAAGCGATACACCACCGTGCCCAGAATGAGGCCGGAGAGGGACTCCGGTCCCCGGAATATAACATATACCTGAACGACCTTCCCGGCAACGACTTCAACGCCATATTTGGATCCTGGCCTCAGCATTTACAAGACTTGAAGAAAGAGATGGGAGAAAGGTTTGATGGGCAATGTTTCTGCAATGGAGTTCCTGGATCCTTTTATGAGAGGCTCTTTCCTACCAATTCTCTCCATTTCGTTCATTCTTCTTATAGTCTCATGTGGTTATCTCAGGTACATTATCATTGTATACTCCATTTTAATTTCCACATTATTATTAACACATACGTACAATAAAGAGATTATGTGAGTGTTGTTTTGTACTTATAACTGGTCAAAAGTCTTTATAAGTTGTTTTAAACTTATAAGTTAGTTGATGACATCTTTCGATCAGTGTACTTACAAGCTGCTTATAAGCGAGAACAAATAAATAGGTCTTGTAATCTACTTACTTTTAAGTTAGATTTTCATTTTTTCCGTGTTGGCCATATTATTTACCAAACCATCTTTCGCCATTTATGAATTTTCCAAAATGATTTATTTACTCAATCCGTCCCAAAAACTCCTTCCCCTTTCTATTTCTTCTTGTCCCACAAAATCTTCCCTTTTTTACTCCCTCCGTCCCCAATTTGATTACAAATTGGGGTTTACGAGGAAGAACATCTCACTTTTTGAAATTATTTTATTTACAAATTGGTATATCAATAAGAAATAAAAATTACGGAGTACATATTAAAAAACTACGTCAAAAGTTCTACAAAACAAGAGGTGACAAGATTATTTTATTTATCAAATACTTAATGAAATCAGGTAAACAAACAAAAGTTATCGAGAGGAGAGAAAAAATTGTAATCGAATTGAGGACGGAGGGAGTATTAAAAAGGGATAAAGACCAAAGTAGGACTAAAACATTGAAAATATACGAAAATAGGACTTCCATGTTTTTAATTCCAAAATAAGACTTACATTTTCAAACATGGTCATATACATTACCAAAAAAGTATAGTAATGTGCACATGTACACTGTCGCATTACTACAGTGCAAAGTCACATTACCATAGTGGAAAGCGGCCTATTTCGGGGAAAAAAATATGAAAGTCCTATTTTGGTACTTTGCTCTATGTTTTAGTCCTATTTAGGGTGATTTCTATATTAAAAACAACTTTTGCTCCTACTAATTCTTAACCTATCTATTATATCATACCTTTTTACTAATAATCTATCCATCGCATCCTACCTTTACCTATCACATTAAAGGTATTTTTGAAAAGTCAATACAAAATTATCTCCCTTAAATTTTCAAAAAGTTAAAACGAAAACATCTTTATAGGACGGAAGAAGTATTATTTAAGTCATTTTACGTCCACGAAAGATTATTTAATTTATACTTGTAAGCAGTTTATAAGTACAAAAATCGACATTAAGCCAATAAGCATCAGCACAGAGAAAAGGATCCCTAAATTCTACCTTAATGATTAACACGTTGCTATTAGGTACCAAGAGGAGCAGAGGAGAATAAGAGGAACGTTTACTTGGCACCAAGCACTCCGCCTGGTGTGGTTAAAGCATACTACGAGCAGTTTGAAAGAGACTTTGGGACGTTTATAAAGTGTAGGGCCAAGGAGTTGGTGGCTGGTGGGGGTATGGTTCTAACCATTGCTGGGCGGAAAGGTGAAGACCCACGCAGCAGGGAATGTTGCCATCTCTGGGAAATCTTAGGTTTGGCCCTCAGTGATCTTGTTGACCAGGTATATTTATATTTTTGGTAAGAGAAAATTGCACCGATTACCCTCGAATTTTTTGAAAATTGCACGGTTCACCCCCGAACATTAAAAAATGCACCAAATACCCCTGAATTCTTCAGAAATTGCACGGTTTACCCCTGAACAATAAAAATTGCACCAAATACCTCTGAACTCTTCGAAAATTGGATTGTTTACTCCTGAACATTTAAATATAAACGACAATTTTGGGGAAAGGTACTTTGGAGAATTCACAAGGGCCAGATGAATCATACTCGCAATTCTTGTGCATGAAAGCAACGCACTCCCTATCTAATAGTTTAGGACCAACGATGCAACGGTTTAATTTGTTCAAGGGTATTTGGTGCATTTTTTAGTGTGCAGGGGTAAATCGTGCAATTTTCGAAGAGTTCGAGAGTAAACGGTGCACTTTTTAAAGTTCAGGAGTAAAGCATGCAATTTCTAAAGAGTACGAGGGTAAACAATGCACTTTACTCATTTTTGGTAATAGTTAAGGTTTTTTTTTGTGTTTTGAATTTCACCCAAGTTCGGAAGGTACTGGAATTGAGGCATTTTTTTTGTGTGTTTTAACTTTTGGTAATAATCAAGGCATATTTTTTTGGAAATAATAATTGGCCTTGTGCAAAATTCATGTTTTGGGCTATATTTTATTTTTTCAAAGTACTTACATCATAAAATTACTAAATTAGTGCTAAATTTAAAAATATGGAGCCTAAAAATATAGGAACTCTGTGCAGTTAACCACTTCACACACCCTCCGGGCCGCCTATGGAGTGCGGTTTTTTTTTGGTGTTTTAACTTTTGGAAGAATATTAAGAAGGGAAAAAGGAAAATAAAAAGGAAAATAAAGGAAAAGAAGCGTTGGCAAGACAACTAAGGGCCTGTTTGGGAATAGCGTTAGAGATTAGCGTTAGCGTTTTGTATAAAATTTTAACGGTGCAGATTACTTTGAAAACGCTAACGCTAAATGCTGCCCGTAGATAGCCTTTTCAAAACGCTAACACTAATGGCTAAAACTATTCCCAAACAGGCCCTAAGTCTCCACGTCGGCGAAATGACTTCCAGGTGGATTCTTTTTTGTTGAGAGATTTGAAAAGAATCAGATATTGTTTTGATAGAAAATTAACTTTATGTACTTGATTGAAATAACGTCCAAAGTTCAGGTATCATCGGTAAAATTTAACTGTTAATTGTTCAAGAAACAATCATGACCTTGATTTGAGTTCTTTTTTATTTTAACCAATCAATTTTTGTTTTAGATTTTAAAACACATCATTTTACCCTGATTTCAAAACTTATATCTTATCATAAATTTCCAAGATGCCCCATACCCTTATTGCTAAGAGTGCTTCTTTAGTGAACTTATAATCCACAAAACTTTTTGTAGACCTCGCATTAAAAATATTTCTTATTTTCATTACTTTTTGCAATTTTTTTTCAAGGTAATACTCCGTAAATCTTTGGTTACCCTCTCATCTCGGTCTACAAAAAAATTTGTGGACCACGTGGTCCATCATATACGGAGTAGCATTTACATATTGTTGTTAAATCTTAATGTTTTCACAAGATAAAAATACTGTATATAGTTAATTTAAGAAATATTTGCATTAAATAACACTAAAACTTAAGTCATTTTCTTAAATAGCACTTAAACTGTTTTATTCCCTAAATAACACTTAATAGTGTCCAGAATTGAAGGAGGAATAATGTACAGTGATGGCGAACATTTACTTGAATAATGACTAATGAATAATGATAAAAGTGCTACATTCGGGAAAAAACACATAAGGTGTTATTTAGGGAAAGTTATTATGTTTTAGTATTATTTATGTAAATTTCCGTTAATTTAATTTGTCTTGCATTTACACTATGTTTTGTTAGCAGAATTTGAAATGGAAAATAAAATTAAATGATATGGAAAAGAATTTAATGTTTGTTTGTGAAAGAAAAGAAACAAGTTTTCTTCCAAATTTGTTAGGACAAAGTTAGAACCATTTCACTCTTTTTTACTTTCTAACTTCACAACCTAATTCAAACATAGTGTTAGCAATATGGAATGAAGAAAACTATTGATAGCATCTAATTGTAGGGATTGATTGAAGAAGAAAAGTTAAACACTTTCAACATTCCTTATTACACACCATCTCCAGCTGAAGTGAAGCACATAGTTGAAAACGAAGGGTCCTTCTCGATCAACTCCTTGGAAGTTACATACGTCCATTGCGATCCTTCTGAGTTCGTGGACAAGAATAAGTTGGAAGAAGAAGGGTACAACGTTGCCAAGTGTTTTAGAGCGATATCGGAACCAATGCTTCTCACTCATTTCGGAGAGGGCGTTATCGAGAAAGTTATGCATCAGTACCGTAAGAGGATTCTGGAATCTCTCTTTAAAGGAAATGTTCGTTTTTACAATGTCGTTGTCACCGTCACAAAAAAAATGTAGTTCACGATAACAAATTCGTGAAATTTACATGGCCAAACTATGTGTGTTGTCTTATTGTTAAGAGGTCTATATATTGCTTTAGATCCAATAATATCATAAACCAATTCCCTCTATTTTAGTGTGTCTGTATTGAATTTCTCATCATTATGTGTAATAATTTAATAAATAAAACTTGGATTGCATGCATCTAATCTGTATTTTAGTGTGCAGATATTACTCCGTAAATATTTTATTTATGTATTTTTCAAATTTATTTTACCTGTATAATAATGTGAAATTCGTATTCAGTTTTTAAACTGAATTATCAATCAATTTAAGAAAATCAAACCCAAAATCAAATTTTTGGAAATTGAAAACCCGAATACCAATCAAAGGTCTTTTTTTTTAGTTTTGGACTTTTGGTTATCAAAATAGTAGTTTCAGTATGGTGTGATTTGTTGTTGGTTTACCAATTTGTGCATACCCCTACTAGTTAGGGCTTGTATACATACTTCAACTTATCTGATTGGTTTTAATCAGATTCAGTTATATTTAAAGTGTTACGTTTCTGATATGATTTGATCTAGTTTCAATAAGAATAAATAGTAAGTAAAAAAAATAAATTTAAGAAAACCTCTTATACTCTAGTTAAATGAGAAGTACACTCATAGCACTTATATATGCTTAAAACACCCAATATAGCATTGCTATGAGATATTGGAACTCGTGTGGATGCAATTCCAAATTTGTTCTTGCTTTCCACATTATATTGCCAAAAATGTGTTTAAGTTGGTATACACTTCCAGAATATAAACATAACACACTACCGTCATACCCAATATAACATGTATCCACCTGTCAAAACATGATCATTCTGCACTGCCAAAAAATGTGTTTAAGTTGGTATACACTTTCAGAACATGAGCATAAACACTAACAGAAAGTGTAGTTGAGTATTGTGAACCGTAACACACTGCCCAAAATATGGGCATAATACACTGCCAGAAAGTGTAGGCATAACATGACTATTCCACACTGTCAAAAATGTACCACTTTTGAGAAAAACTTATGATAACCATGAGATATCATTAAAAAATTTGTTTGAAGATATAAAGTTAAACGCTAAAAATGAGTAATAAGAAAAAAAATTAAGACATAACCTTATTTTTATTACATTAATTTTCATATTACAGTACATGATTTTGAAAAACTCTTACATTACCGGATCGACTAGGTCAGATTCAGTCAGATTTAAACCCTTTTTTAGCGAGTCATTTTAAATTCGTTCATCTTCGAATTCAGTCAACAAAACCGATATTGAAAGCTTGATATTTTAAGTCGGGTCAAGGTTTGTTACTTTTTGTCACTCTTAAAATCCGTTGTGTTATTTAGCTTTGGGCCTACACAAGATGAAATTGCTTTCATCCATCTAAAAGACGGACGAATTGCTTCCGCAAGGCTCTGCGGCTCTGCCCACTTAATCCACATTCTAAAAGATAAGCCCATCATCTCCTTCCTCCCACCATAGATTCATTCTCACTTTTCAATGTTCGCTCTGTGATTTTGTCTGTGGCTTCCTGGTATCTGCTAAGAAATTGAATTTCAAGCAAACAATGTTCTGAATTTCTTTTTCAAATATGGCTGTGGTTGTCCTTGATCATCCATCGTCTCCTAAGAAAGAAAATCAGCAAGAGAAAGAGGCGTGCGAAAGAAGAGCCAAAGAATCCTGCTCCATCTCAATTTGATTCAAGCTTCGTCATCACCGGAGAATCCGCAGCAAGTAATCAGCGTCAAGAATCCCAATCCAAGACGGAAGAGACGAATCCAGCGCCTATAAATTGAGGGGATGCTGCGAAGAACACCCCACCACCATCAAGAACGAAAATTAGAGCTACAATCAAAGGGTATGAACCCTAGGGGTTCGGATCTCGCATCCGAAACCCCTACCTTCCCTTCTGCCTTCTACTTATTTATTCGTTTTATTTCAATTTAGTGGAACCCTATTTAATTTCTTTTCTTTAGGTGCGTTTCTGTGTTTGTTCTTTTTGTTCCCTAAAAGTGTTTCTTCTGGATCATGACTGAAAGTTTTCACTTCCTTTCAGTAATTTGCCCAAAGCTTTGATATTTTTAGTGTGTCATTTGTTTTAAAGAATTGGTGTTTGATTCTGAGTCCCCTAGTATTGTTGCTGTCCAGTAAGTGCTTCTTGAAGATATATTGTGGATTGTAATGATTGCTTCTAAAGTTTTCTTCACCTTAGAGACGAGGCAAATGTTTAACTCGTGCTTGCGACTTTCTTTTCATAAGGTTGCATAAACTTTCACTACCCGTTTATGAGGGAAAAAAGGTAGGTAACTACATGAAACAAAAGCTTAAAGGTAACTTTTGCATAGTTTTGATACAAGAAGTTGGGATGATTCTTTAAGTTATTTTTTAGGACTACTTATGTTGTTCTTGAGGAATCTAGGGTCTAATTTTGTCAAAAATAGCATATGAAACCAGAATTTTTGGAGGAAGTATTGAATCTTGTTGCTTAAAATTAAATCTGTCTATGGGTTTAAACTTTTACTTCAAACTTAATACTCTTAAAATAATTCAAGTTTATGCTTCTGTTAAAATAAATTAAAGGAGTTTGAGAACTATTTTTCAATTGATTTTACTTAAGTTAGGTCAAATTAGGATAGCGACCTAATCCAAATTAAAATGATATCCTTTAAAAGTCCAAAGTGCTTTAAATAGCCAAACTTTTCTAGAAAAATAGTGTCACTTGATTAGTACTAGGCTACCTCGTTAAGTGGTTTTTACTAATCAAAGTTCTTGAACTGATTTTGTTAAAAATAACCTTTGTGTTACTGAAAAATTGTTAAGGTGATATTTTCCAAAGATTTTATTGCACTATTCTTAGTAGTATTCTAAGGGTTGGTCTTTGGATTGCTAAGGATAGTAGGGTTTAGAGTTAGGGTTGGTCTTAACATGAACTAATAAGAATGGGAAAATAGGGAAGAGCCGTTGGTGGACCTCTTTTTCAGCCTAACCCTTGATTTAATTTAAAGTTGGTTGATGATTATGCAAGTTTTTAACAAAGTTTTGAGCCTGGATATTTATTTTCTATATTCTAAAAACCTTGTTGATTTTCTAAAACTGTGTAACTCTATTTAATATTGGGTTATGTGTGCTTTTCTTCTTGTTTGGGCTTTTGGTGGAGTTATGTTCTATTTATCCTTGGGTTGTTGCTTTGAAATATGTTCTCACATGGTGTGTCACTTTAGTTAGTTTTTTTCTTTATTTCGTAAATATTATTTCAAACCCCTCTATCTTTTAATATTAGTTTATAGATTTTAGATAGTTGTTTTTACCCAAAAAAAAAGAGACAAGGTAAACTGATTTTCATAGCCTGAAAAGTATCTTTCCTCTTGGGATCGACCCTAACTTATCCTATCTACGAATTTAATAAATATTATTTTAACAAGGATTCTAAGTAAAGGAAAATAATAAATTAATCAACTTTTATGATGAAAATTAGGGTGCTTATTTTCAATAAAAAATATAAAAAAATAAAATGGTTCTTCAAACAAAAACATAAAAAACTCCGTTTTTTTCTGTTTTCTTGACTATTTTAGCTTAAAAGTTAGTTTTTTTATTTTCTAAATCTTTTATCAAAGTCTAAGTCAGTCCCTAGGTCCATTTGTGTCTTCTTTGTAATCAGTTTTTCTTTTATGAGTCATTAAGTCAGTTTTTTTAGTTTAGTCCCTTGTTTGCTCTTGCTTCTTACTAACAATTTTTTTTTTACAAAAAAAAGAGGATAGAGTTACTGGCAGCTTTTGATCTTTTATTTAACTTACTGCTGCACTTGTGTCAAATTCGGACCAGGAAACTTAATTGTTTTAAAAAGAAAATGTGTCGAGAAGAGTTTCTAGTCTAAGTTTGATAAAAAAAATATTGTTAACTAGTAACAGTTAGAGTAGGAACTAACTTTACTGACTTCTTTTTCTTGAAACATGCAATTACTTTATTGAGAACTTGTCTTCAAAACACTCTAAAGAGATTGTTTCTAATGGTGCATTAGTGCAGATTTTTATGACTTAGATCTGGGAGTTTCATTAAGATGAGTCTTTATTGAGGGAAAGTAAGCTGAGCAAATGATATACTTTGTTTTTTTAAGAAAAATCAGAAGTTAGAAGATTTTACTTATTACTAATGGTGCTGTTTTTTTTTTTAAAAATGGCATTGATAGACAATAGTGCTTGCTTGTATGTTATTTGCTTAGTAATTGTTGACAATTTAATCAAGTATAAGAATTCTAATACTTATATATTCACTTTGAGTTGCAGCTAACTGATTTTGCATGCACTTGAGGAGTGGAAGAGTAATTGGTGATATGGAGGTAAGAGGTAGAGACTGTGAGGTAAGTGTGGCTGAACCCAAACCTTTTAACAGTGTGTTTGTTGCTGAATCTGAGGATAAACCTGCCAACTTGTTTGCTGTTGATTTGTTTGATTCTTGTTCTGATAGCATCTTTGATAATCTATTTGAAATTAAATTTGAACAAAAAAAATAACAACTTTAAGAGAATTGGAAGCCCCTAACCTAAATGTTCCACCACTTTCCATTACTTATGCTGAGCTAGAGAAACCTTTAAAACACTCAATTGAAAACACTCAACAGTTTGGTACTAGGAAAACTTTAGTGAAGAAAGTGAATGAAATTGGTAATTCTTTTATTGAAAACAAACTCACTGAATTTACCAATGCTATTCCACAGCTTACAATTGTGGGAGGGGTTAAAGGAAACCTTGTGGGGTTTGTTGCTTGGAAGGATACTTGTCCAACCTTGCAACACCCTAAAGTAAATGCTGTTTTTTATAATAACAACCAAAGAAAATATGATCCTTTTTCTAATTCTTACAATGAGGGATGGAGAGACCACCCTAATCTCAGGTATGGTAATGGTCAGAACTATCAGGCTCCTAGGGAAATTTTCATAATTTTAATAATCCATCACAACATCCCTTTTTTGATAAAAAATTCAACTTTTGGAATATATTCTTAAGAAAATGGATGACAAATTCTCTGGTTTTGACCAAACTCTTAAGCAATTGCAAGAAAAACAATCTGCCACTGAAGTTACAATGCGTAATTTGCAAGCCCAACTTAACAATAGGTTTCCTTCTCAACCTGTTTTGAATCATAAAGAGAATTTGAGTGCAACTGAGCTGCAAAATAATAAAAAACTGCCTGAACCTAGCTTTGTTAGTAGGGAAGAAAGGGAGAAAGAACTTCTTCCAACTCTAGTCTCTTTTGAAAATAATAATGTTGATTTTGTTGAAAATGAAAGTACTGGGGCTGATAAACAGAAAGAAAATGATTTTCAAAATAAAATCAATGAGTTTAAACAGAAAGTATTGGGGCTGATAAACAGAAAGAAAATGATTTTCAAAAATGGTCTTCCTAACAATATATATATATATATATATATATATATATATATAGGGGCCGGTTCCAGTAAGAATGGTGCTTGGTGAAAGAAATAAGAATGATAATGATCCGTTAGATGAGATGAACTGGATGGGCAAGATTTTACATCATGTTTAATGGTTGGCGACTAATTAAAATGTTAAGTATTAATTAGATTCCTTTAAAATAGGGTGGTAGTAGTTAATAAGGGTATAAACGGAAAACTAAAAGTACATTCGAGATGAGATCTAACGCTATAAAAATCCCCCATACTTTGCACTTTCTATTTTATTACATAAAAACATTAATTTCATTTCCTTATTCTACTATAATGCTTATTTACACATAACTTTTCTTACACAAGTTCGTCTTTGACAAATAATTTGTTGTTAGAAATCCCTCGTCAAGATCTACCAAACGATAACAATATTGAATACTTTTTCCGTCCTAATTTAAATGACATGTTTATTATTTACAGAGTCAAACTTTATTTACTTTATTTTTTTGACATCTTATTCCTTTTATTTAATTTTTTTTGTTACTCATTTGATAAAATAATATTGTAATATCATCTTTTTATGGGATGCTTTTTAATATCCTATTTTTTCCAATGCAATGTGATGGTTGATATATGCGTTGTGATTTGTCGTTTTGATTTTATTCAAATTTTAATTCTTAATTTTTTGATTAGTGAATAATGACTACTAATTGACTTTGTATGTGATGAGAAAACCTGAGAATGCATTGCATTGCAACCAAGTGTGATACAAATTTGAAAAATAGTTTACCTATGTGGGATTCAAACTCACACCCATAATGCTTACCGCTCTACCATTTGAGCTAATAAACAACAATTTGGTTTTTCAAAGAAATTCTCATCTTATACTTAAACATATTAAATATGCATTTTAATTATTTAAAGAATTTTTATTACCCCACTTTCCTATATTTATTTTGGGCAGGTTGCATCATGATATATGCGAATTAAAAATCAATCTAATAAGAGTGCACTATGATAGTCGATATGTGCACTGATGTACAAACAAAAGGATTCCCTTCTTGCACTATAACCTATGAGAAATGCATGTTAGTCTTTTTAATCGTGCATCATTATGCAAGTTCTTAGTCTCTATAAACCAATCTGGATGCTATATAATATGCCCTACGAAATCTTTCTGATGCACTGCATATTTTATATAATGCACTAAAAATGCATACTGCAAGAGTGGATTCTATATAATATGCACTATAAAATCTTTCTGATGCAGTAAATATTTTATACAATGCACTAAAAGTGCGTATTGTGGGAGTTGTTAAGTATGGATGTAACACAATGAAACATGGTCTAAAACTTACTCCCTCCGTCCCAAAAAGATTGGTACATATTGACTTTTTGAAAAATTAAGGAAGGGATATTTTGATGTTGACTTTCCAAAAATACCCTTGATGTAATGGGTAAAAGTAGGATGTGATAGGTAGATTATTAAGAAAAAGGTATGATGTGATAGGTAGGGTATGAAAAAGTAAGGGGTAAAAGTGGTTTTTTAATAGAAATGTAACGGACTTTACGGCACGCAGTTTGGGACTTTACGTTTTTTCGAAACGTGTCGGACTTTTTGGGACGGAGGGAGTATTACAAAGTATTTTTAAATTATACTTTGGTCCAATAAACATTATTTATGCATTTGACAAAACATAAGGGGATTTTTGAGGGAACAATATTTTGATAAAACTAATTTTTATGTATAGGTATTGAACATACAAATCCAACTGTATAATTTATAAATTAATCTGATTTACATATTTTTTGTTATGAAATTTTTAAAATATTAAAAAGCATGGAACAAAAGAAATTTTATTGTAGTTTTTAAAAGTTATGTTTCATCACAAGAATATTTTCATTGTAATTTACAAAATGATAAGTCTGACTCTACCCATTATATTTTTAATGTTCATGTAAACGAAAACAAATTGAAATTACAGAGTAACAATTAGTACATTAAAAAGAAAAACTCTATTTGTAATGGCGATAATAAACTTCCATCTAGATTACGGAATATAAATCTACAAGATATTAAAAATGTGAGGTCAAGGAAATCTTACTATATACGAAGCAAAAAGAGCTGGCTACAGTGTTCTCGCCAAAACACTGTAGCAACCTGCTGGGCTTTACTGATAAATATTTTTTTCTATTGCACTCTTTATTCCTCATATGCATTATTTTAATGCATTTCACATGGTGGAAAAGATTTATTTATTTACTTTGATTTTTTTTCAAATTTATAAATAATACTTTCTTGTCACGTTATTTTTATCATTTTTTGGTTAACTATATTTGGTTATTTTTTATATTATCACATTTTATTATAAGTTTCTCACATTTTAAAGTAAAAACTTAAAAATTTATAAAGACTTTTTAATGTTATTGCACTATGCTAGCTGATAATCTGATATATGCATTGTGTCTTGCTTTTATATTTTATTTAATTTTTGTATTAATTTGTGGATTAGTGAATAATGACACCTGAGTAACTTTTTGTGAGGTGAAAAATCTTAAGAATGTATTGTATTCAGACTAAATATAATACAAATTTGAGAAATAGTTTGCCTATGCAGGATTCGAACCCACAACCGTAGTACGTACTGCTCTACCATTTGAGCTAATAGGCACCAATTTTTTGAAAGAGACTCACAACTTGCACTTAGACCTATTAAATATAGATTTTAAGATGAGAATTTTACATAAAATTTTAAGTGCATCATCATTTGCGAAAAAATCACTATGTACAGTATACAAATGCATCAGAAATTCTCCACAAGATGCATCAATTTTGATTCCATATTATCCTTTAGCTTGATTTTGAAAATGTATTGCCCTCTTTTA